TATATTCTGCTTGGAAAGACCCTGCAGATCAACTACAGTTTACTTTCTTGATACAATCATGCTGACGGCGATCGATGCAGTATAATCGAGAAAAATGGTCGTGACGAAAAAGGAGGAAACTCATCTATCTGTTACCGAAAGACACGAAATGAAAAATATTAAGAATTTTTCTCCAAAACCATGCCTCAATGCTGATATCAGATAGCAAAGCAGAATGAATTATATCGTCGTGAAAAGCAGAGTAAAATGAGCAGGTAAAAGTGGTGAGCTGGGAACATAGCTCGATTTCGTCGTTTCTGACCACTGATGCACAGTTGCCATCGCTGACTGATACTCGACAGACGGCGAAAAGGTGTTTGGCAACCATTCAAAAATATTGGAGACCATTTTATATCTGGCTTATAAGGACAACCGTGGCAAAGGAAGAGGTCATCAGGGCAAGAGTGCAGCTAGTGTTGCAACCGGCGCAATCTATGTGACTAATGAATACTGGTCGATTAAAAGATTAGGAAAACATTACATCTAAGAAAGGAAGCACATTAGTATTCCCGTGTTTGTCACAAAAATAGTTTATACCAAGGGTCTTCGATGTAATAAATTATTTTTGAAATAATAAAAGAACTGTGATTTTTATGTAAATTTTAATTTATTAGGCTTAAGACATTCACTGAAGGTTCCAGTTTCTAACGTATTCACATTAATTTCAACCAATGGTTAGAGATGAACACGCCATTACAAACCTCCTCCATTAAGGCGCAATTAGTCTCCTCTTTTGTTCAGAGGAAAAGCGGTACTATGCAATGGTTATGACAATATCGTGAAGACGGATTTCCGAGGCGTAGGTCCTCCAAACAGCGTAAGATCTGTTATTTTTCTTACACATCTTAACGTAAATCATGTAAAGTTCTCTTTTTTAACGACTCTGCACCCTCAACTCGGACGGCAGATGACGTAATGAAGAGACTTCATCATGCTTTCGTTGGTAATCAGGGCAAACGGTAGCTCCAAATCGTTTCAGTCAGAGTCCTTCTATCAGACATGTTTGCGTTACATCATAAGGATCCTTCATCCCTTAGTTTTCGTCCACTCTCTAAGACTTACTAATATTAAAGCCGGATTTATGGATCTCTGTCGTGCTGCCAACTGACATATTTTGAGCTTACGGCCGTTGAAAGAAAAGAGACATGTGATCCATTGGTGGATGGAATTCTGAAGACATCGACTACAGTCTTGTCATCACATCAACTCAGTTACTCGCCGATCCATGGACTAAAAGTCGCCAAAGATTTTGTTGAACTCGTTTAATGCTAGGAGGATTTTTTTAAAAATGTTCAGTTTAGCTGTTATCAGTTCCACGCTATGATCAGGCAACATGCTTCTGAACCACAGTTCCAGCACTGCTTAAAAAGTACACATTATCAAGCCCGTTGAGAATAGGTATAACGCATTTGAGGAAGAACGATCATGTAAAATCTCACACTATACAATTACTTCCTTAAACAATCACTTCAATAACAGGATTATAATACCACTCTAAAAGCGATCATCGTTTGGGCTTTAGGATCACGGGGTGATGAAAATGACAGAGTTTTAGACATGTTGCCAATTAGGCATAGGTTTGCAAAAACGCTTAAAAAGTTGTGCGTAGTCGATATGTTACACGTGTCCTTTGAGATTTGTGATGCCAATGGAACAACAGGGGTCAAAATGACTTTTCAAATACCATATCGGAGGAAGAAACCGAAGAGCTGCCAAAAGAGATTTTAGATATTAAACACTCCGGTTCTGCCCATCACCATATTGAGTGAATCAGAACGACAGCCCCGTGTAAACGAGCACATATAAAAATATTTAGTTTGTACATAGTGTTTAACTCAATAAAATTTCGGCCTTCCC